TATCTTAAGAGTGATAAGAACTATAAGATGTTCTTGGATCATATTATAGATGATAACAGTATAGGCCCTCTCTTTGAATTGAATTCAAGCNGCTTAGATCGTCCTATTAGGTATGAAGTTGACAATGGAGGATCTGAAACTCGTAAATTCGAAATGTTTTCTGGTGAATCAAAGAGATCAGAGGTTAAGAACGAGAATCCAGTGAACAATAATAGAGTTTCTCAGCAGAGAAAGAGGAAAACTGTTGGGTTTAAGGCTGAGATTTCAAGAGCTGCTTCGTTAGTTATAACCCGAGAAAGCATTCAACGTGACAATCGAGCCGCTGAGAGAAGAAAAAAGAGGATTGGGCTCTTAGTTGGAGAACAAGACAACATTCAACGAGACAAGAAAATGTCAAAGTCAAAGGTTGAGAGTTCAAGTGATGTTCCATTGGTTATAGCCCAAGAAAGCATTCAACGGGACAACAGAGTTAGGAACCTTGCTGATATAAAGGTTGAGACTTTAGGAAGAAGGGCTGTTCCGTTGGTTAGAGCTGAAGAAAACATTCACCAAGTCAACAATGTAAAGGTTAAGGCTTTAAGCCGTGTTCCGTTGGTTAGAGGCCATGAAGATATTCGACGAGATCACAAAGATTCTGCAGGGAAAAAGAAGAGGTTATCCGAGTTGGAGCCTGAGACTTTAAGAAGAGCTGTTCCGTTGGTCAGAGCGGAACAAGACATTCACCGAGACAACAATGTAAAGGTTAACACTTTAAGCCATCTTCCGTTGGTTAGAGACCGAGAAGACGTTCAACGAGATCACAAAGTTTGTGAAGGGAGAAAGAGGAGGTTATTCGAGTTGGAGTCGGAGACTTTAAGAAGCGATGTTCCATTGTTTAGAGCCGAAGAAGACGTTCAACGAGACAACAATGTGATTGCTGAACGAAGAAAGAGGGAAACTGTTGAAACTATGGCTGCAGGGAATTCAAAGGCTGTGACTGAGACTTCAAGGATTGTTCAGGTGACCCAAAGGAACAAAGGAAATTTTGTTGGGAGAAGGAAGAATAATGAGGAAGAAGAGAGTGTTGCGGTTGTGGAAAAGGGTTACATGAGCTACCTCACATGGCTTGTGGATTCTCTTAAAGATTTGACAACAACGCATGTGGCAAATCTACAAAATGATCCGTCTGATTTCGATCCTCCGGTTCTGGCTGCTCTAGAAGAATCCACAGTAGTTGTCCCTGTAAAGGATACATTAGTAAATGTGAAGGTTGAGCAAGATCTTGAGTCTTGGTCTGATGATTCTGATATAATTGCCGTTAGTGATTCCCCGTTTTGGGATGGAGAAGACACACCATTTGTGGTGTCCAAGAGCGTGGTTGATCTCGATAATGAAAGTAAAGAGGATGAAAGTAGGTCTTGTTTGTTTACAAAAGAGCTAATGGATGTTCTGAAAAAACCATACGATGAACAAGAGTTGTTGGAGCTCTCTAATCAGGCATCAATGCAAAAACCAGTGACTCGATGTAGAGAATTCCGAAAGGGAAGGGAAAAGATTTATAAGACTGATAAGCTGGGACCATCTTATCTCCAGAGGTTCTCTGATTTCGATAAAGAATACAAGCTTGTGGATGGTGTTGATAAGGCAAAAGCTTTGAAGTTGCTGCGTGGGTTTTTCTTTTACTTGAGAAATTGTTCTCGTCCTGGTGCTTTCAAGCCTTGGAGTAAGGATATATAAGCAATGCTTGCAACCTTTGGAAGATGGTGAAGCTTTTGGTTTTAATAAGTAGCTTGATGTAGAAAATGTTTTGGACCTACCTGTTGTTTTCAACTTGGATTGTGGCTGCTTCTTGTTTTTATTGTTGTTGGGATTGTCAAACTGATTCAGATTAGTTTTTGGTCACCCAAAAATCTAGTTAGTTTCGTTGTGTGTCAGACTTGTTGATCTCATATATTACAACAATTGAAGGAATCAGATTCGACAGTTTCAGTGAGTTTAGAGCTTCGGTTGAGGAGAAGGGCTTTGGTGTTGGCCAATGTTGACATTTAACATGAGAACAAAAACAAAATATAGATTTACATCTTTGGACAACAAAAACAAAATATCGAAAGGAAACGATTATAAACAACTAGACATAAAGCTTCAGGTAGATGCATTAAACCCTTTTCAAGTGTCAGGGGTCTTGGAGCTTGGTAGAACACAAGCAAGGCCATCGCATATGTAATCTAGAGATCCAGAGGAGTTCTTTGTGAAACAGCTAATGAACTTGCTTGTTGCAGACAACTTTAAAACTAAGACAAACTAAATATGTTAAAAGTTCTTTCTAAAAGAGAGCTTGAGTTTGTGGCTCCTTCCTCTATTCAATTCTTCGCCTTCTTCTTTGGCTGTCGTTTCTTTTTGGACTTGTTAAACCCGCCTCCGGTCTCCTATGAACAATACAATTGTATTGAGTATATAAATATAATAAGATAATACTAACCAGCTTCAAAATATGCTGACCTTTCTGTAACATCTATATGCACTTTGACCTGAGAACTCTTGTCCGCTTTTAGAGATATAAACCTACAAGAGCAAGAAAAATATATGAGTTTCAGACGTCCATTATCTTAATGTGTTTGGTAACAAATACTTCAGATGCTTAAAAACGTGTGCGCGGTTTGTCTTAAAATTTCTTATTATGGAAAGAGTAACAAACCTTCCTTCCTTCAGGGGATGTGAACCAATGACCTGCAGAGCATCTTTTGCCAGCATCCTTTGGAGCTCTCTCGGCCCTTTGATTTTGTTTGCACGCTTCTGCAGATTTTGCTGCTAGAATCTCCAGTTTTAGAGCTCTCTTTACTGCCAAATTGGTTCCTAAAATGGCATTGGAAAAGATATGTCAATCCCCTGGAAACAGAAGGTTGTAAGGACCAACATAAAGAAAGGGATTAGGAGTCTAACCCACATATAATCAACAAGGGACACCTCTGTGTCACTGAAAATTCCCAGAGGCAAAAAGNTTGGTAACNGTTGTCGAGCTAANTTCTGTATCCTTGGATCACTATGCATAAAGAAACGATGAGATGGAGGAGAAAAATCCAAGGATTGCCGAGTTTGCTGACAAAATCCACTACTGCTACTAGTTGCAACAGCACTGCTTTGTTTCTGAGTTGTGCTACTGGTCTTGATTGAGCTAAAATAGTCCTGAGAAACATTATCTAGAGCTGGTGTTTGGATCTTCGACATTGCTGCCGGGGAAAAATCTTTCCACAGATCTTCACTAGATCTTGATTCCTTTCTCTTTGGTTTACTCGCAACAGATGGTTGATCCACTGAGAAAGAATCATTTGTTTTAGTTACTCTGGTGGTGGATGGGTAGTCAGTATCTTCAGAATCAGAATCAAGTAGTTGGAACCTTCGTAGAGGAGTACAAGTTGATCTTTGAAACAGAAGTAATGCCAGATGTAGTTGGAACATCCAACCGCTTTCTTTTTTCCGGACGACTCGGAGAGATAGAAGAAGACTGATTAGTTAAAACTCCAGAACCATGAAGTGAGAGCCTTGAACTGCTGCAACTAGAAAACCGACTTCTTGTTGAGGTAAGTGCATCTGCAGTTAGCAAAACCAATTGGTAAATCATGACGAAACCAACAAAATATGGAAGAATATTACAAGGACTCGAGTCCAAAGAATTTATTTGAGCTATCACCATGAACAAAAGAAACTCGAAACCCACTCTATCTAACAAATGCAGTCATCAAGTTGTCAACTTTGAGCCTGATTCAGAGAGCTAAGGATACGGAAAGTTTGCAACTTTGCATCACCGTCGTATATTCAATCGATGACAAACCGAAAGCAATTAATTTGAGAATTGTACCAGCGGAGGGAAAATCCGAGGATGTCTTCATCATCTGGATCTTGCTCCTTGTTGTCTCTATCGTATTTCGGATTGATTCTAGCTCCAGATCAGAATCCGAGACCGTAAGTCCCGGGTCCGGTTCGAAACCCGACTGGGGATCAAGATCAAGATCAAACCCTAGAGAAAACGATGGTGGCTCAATTGAAATCATGACTAGGAAGGAATTACGGATTCTGGAGAGGAAATTGGCGTTTTTGTTCGATTCGATGAGATTCTGTGTGTCTGTCTGTGTGCCAAAGAAGCTTGAAATTTCTCCCGCTTCGCTGACGATTCGTGAATTTTGAAATTACATTTCAAGCGACTGATTGATATTAATTTCGTTCAAGTATAATATACTTTTTTTTTCCCATTTAAAATGAAAAATCAGAATGGGCTGTGAACACTATAAAGTTGGATGAAGCCCATAATTTAATTTCTTTTCCGACTAACATACAGTCTCCTTTCCGACTAAACCAGTTTTATTGATATCCTGCAAATCCAACAATTTATATACAGCAGTCACACAACCATGAACCAAAGAACAGTTGCCAATAATTTAAATAGAGTAGTCATAGTATTAGTCAGTGATTTGGGAATTAGGTTAACTGTTGCATATGTGATTACATTATGCTTTTAATGTTTATGCATTTCTTGATGTTGGTCAACGGTATATAAGACACTCGTTTGTCCATCTGGATGTATATGCCAGATGATGTTCGTTTAAGTGTTATTAAATACATCATCCAGATAGAGCATCTAGGTGTAGTTGAAAATCTCTTCACAAAAATTGTAAATGTATATGGTG